CTAAACAACAACGCAACCCTGCTCTTTGCTCTCACCCCCCCACCCCTCCCCTGTGTTTTTGTTTAACAGCCCCCCACTCCCTGCCCCACTCCCTGCCCCACTCCCTGCCCCACTCCCTGCCCCACTCCCTCCACTCTTATACCTCCATCACTTCCACAGCACATCCTATCTCTCCAAATCCCTGTCTTTTCTTTTGCTGATTGGGGTAGTAGGGCCTTTTGAATTATTTAAGTCGGAGTCGGAGCAGCCAGTAAAAACCTCGGCGTTCCCAAAAGAGATGATCCGTCTGCCGAGAAACAGGGAGAGAGTGAGAGGAAAGGAGGAGGAAGAGAAAAAGATAAGCTTCTGCTGACACAGGCATTCTGTACACAGGCCTGGAGCTCTCGTCAAGCTGTCTCCATTTTTTGTTTTTGTTTTTCAAACGCACACACACACACACACACACACACACACAGCCATGACTTCCAGGTACACAGGCTGGAAACAGGATGCAGTTTTTATATTTATCTCCTCCTGTAGGTTCGGTCCTAAAAACATTCTTACGTACAGGACGCTGACGCTGCTGCTGCGGTTAAATCGGGGCTACTTGACCTTTTTGACCTTGACGCCCAGTGTTTATTGTACAAAGTGGACTGTATAGCGGGGGTGTCAAACATATGGCCCGCGGGCCAAAACTGTCAAAAGGGGGGTCACAAGGCAAAAAATGTTGGGAAGCAGTGATCTAAGAGGTCAAAGTTCAAAGTTTGGCCTCTCACCTCCTCTCACCTCCTCTCCCCTCACCTCCTTTCACCTCCCCTCACCTCCCCTCACCTCCCCTCTGTCCTCCCATCAGCTGCAGGATGGCTACAACAACAACAACAAAAAAAATCTCCTCACAGCAGTGCGTGTCTCAGCCGGCCACACCAGGTGGCGCCCTGCCCATACCCTCGCCCCTGTCGCCCAGCCCGGCCAGCCTGTCGTCCTACCACGGAGATGACAGCGACAGCATCAGCAGCCCCCCCTGGCCCCTGAAGACCTCGTCCAGCCCCGTAAGAACAAGAACCTCAAACCTCTTCAATGTGTGTCAAATTATGTTGGAGAATTTATTGGTGAAAACTTACGACGTGAACAAATATTTAATTTCCTAATTACTTTGTTGTGGCTAAAACGCTGGTTTTCGTCTTCAAACAGTCTCAGATTTTTCTTGGTGTCAATAGATTAATTAAAAATGAATCTGATTAGTCACTCAGTTGCTGTAGATTAATCACGATTAATCGTAATTTTTTTCTTTTCCAGAAACCCAACCCAAACTCCTCCTCCTCTTCCTCCTCACTGGGCGGAGACAGAGTCGTTCGACTCTACGAGATGGGTGTGGAGCCCGAAAGGCGGAGCTGGGTGGAGCGGTACCTGAACTTCATGGAGGAGAGGGGCACGCCTGTGACCCAGCTGCCCACTGTGGGCAAGAAGCCACTGGACCTGTGGAGGCTCTACATGGCCGTCCGCGAGATCGGAGGCCTGGCAATGGTAACGTCTGAGCAGAAGGAGAAAGTAGCTTAGAAATAACATGTGCATTTATTAAGTTTTTTTTAATTAAACATAATTATTTAGGACAGTGATTCCCAACCTCTGTGTCGTGGCCCACCTGTGGTCCATGAAAGATTTCATCAGGTTTGCCGTGAAAAAGTATCCATTTTGATTTGATTTTTTTTATGCGTCCACGAGAAACAGATCAATTAAGCAGTCGTCCACTAGGTGGTAGCAGATGGCCGTTGAAGATTTTCATGTGTCTTTCATCAATTCCTGCGTTTATATTAACGTTGTGTTCAACTAAAAAGGCACAGGTTTCATTCTGTGAGTAAATTGAAAATAGAAGATGATTAGTTTTTATTACGTTTTGAGAGATTTTTTGTTTGGTGGTGCATTGTGGGATTTTTCTCAGTGAAAGTGAAAGCGATTTATTATCATTATCACACAACGGAAGGTGACCGTTGCCTTTAACCCATCGTCTTAGTGAGGAGCTTAAGCTGATGCCGTGATTGGTGGATTTGAATTTCGTGACTTAAAAAGTGATGGATGTCATGACCAACTGTTACGTCCTCTGAGTTCTAGAACTCTCTTCACTGTAGATTCTACAGGAAACACCACTGTGTTGTTTTTGTTCATGGCACAACCTGCAGCTTAGCTGAAGGCATTTTGGCTGCCTGCTCTGAGACTCACTCCTCAGGTGTGAAACGGCAGCAATATTGTCATCAGAATATTATCATCAGAACTTTTCCTTCATTTTGCGTTAATATTGCATTTACATATATGCATATATTATATACATATATGTTAATATTGCATTTACATGTATTCATATATTATATACATATACATATATTTGACAAAAATGTAAACAGCATAATGAAGAAAGAACGTGTAAACATGTCATGAAACCTCTGGCCAGCGGGTCACGCCCAGTACGTGCTCTCCCTCCAACTGTCAAATGAATGTCAATTCAGACTCACAAACATTTTTCAGAATTGATTTTGGCCCCACCCAAGAAAGGAACTTCAGAGTACTTTGTAGAGAGGAGTACAGAGTACTCCCTGCAGTGGTGGTGTTGACAGGTGTTTCCAGAACTGTGAGGTCCGTGTGTGTTATTGTTATTAGACATTATCTGTGAGCTCATGTCCAGCCCTCTGTCAGCAGAGCCTGCAGCAGAGTTATTACCCCTGATGGAGCAGGGAGTGAGAAGCCGAGGCAGATCAAGTTTAGGGTTCACTTCAAAAACAACCTTTGTTGACCAAAGTGCTTGACGGACTCGGACAGCAGAAACAATAACAAAACAGAGTATAAATTATGAAATATAAATACATACAGGGGGCAGCCCAGATGCCCCAGAACCCACCTGGTCCTGAATGCCAATGAATGAATGAAGGTCTGTGTTGAAAACAGACTTTAAGGTAACCTGCAGCTTTAAGGGGGGAAAAAACACCATAACAGTCGTTATGAGCATAAATATATGTTTACGAGGTATATTAAAGGCTGTGAAGTTACGACTCACCAACACTGAAATTTATGTTTATACACACACATATATATTCATATATGTACATATACATATATACATATATATGTTTGTGTATAAATATATATCATACATACATATATTTAAATATACATTCAATATTATAAATAATAATTTTCCATCGTTGTGTTTGCATATAAGATTTTGTTGTACTCTGAGTAGTAAAGATAATCAATAATGTAAATATACAATATATAAAAAATACTTTGCACAACAATGTAAAAATACATATATGTATACATATGTGTATGTATACGTATATGTAAATATATATGTATACATGGTATGTGTATATATATGTAAATATATATTTACATATATGTATACATACAAATATGTAAATATATATGTATACATACAGTATGTGTATGTATACATATATGTAAATATATATATATTTACATGGTATGTGTATATATGTAAATACACATTTACATTTATGTATACATACACATATGTAAATATATATATTTATACATATGTGTATGTATACATATATATAAATATATGTATACACATAAATATATGTGTGTGTTGGTTTTCATCATCACTATCTATTTCCATATTTTCATATTTATTACATAGTATTTTCCAGTTATTTATCTCTGTAACTGTACCGTTACCTCAGAGTACAACAAAAATGTCGTTGGTTGCAAATACAACGTCAACTAAAGAATCCTGGAAACCTGAGGTGATCCAGTAGGTGGTGCCACCAAGTTGAAGCTGCAGCTGGAAGCCGTCACCAACATTAGGGATCTAAAACAAACTACAGTCCTGACGGTGGCGCTAGACTTAGACTTAGAGTTAGTCTTGAATATTTACTGTAGTATAAACGCTCATGTCGCCAGTTTCTGTGAACAACAGCCCGTTCAGAGAAGGTCAGAGGAGGTCAGCTGTGACTTCATGTCCGCCTCTAAATCTCATGTCCTCCCTCCTTATGTTCGACCACTCAGGTGAACAAGAACAAGAAATGGCGTGAACTCTCCACCACTCTGAACGTCGGCACTTCCAGCAGCTCCGCCAGCTCCCTGAAGAAGCAGTACATCCAGTTTCTGTTTGCCTACGAGTGTAAGATGGAGCGGGGAGAGGAGCCCCCGGCCGACAGCAGCGGCAGTTAAGGTTCTAAAACAAACGACAGTCCTGACGGTGGCGCTAGACTTAGCCTTAGAGTTAGTCTTGAATATTTACTGTAGTATAAACGCTCATGTCGCCAGTTTCTGTGAACAACAGCCCGTTCAGAGAAGGTCAGAGGAGGTCAGCTGTGACTTCATGTCCGCCTCTAAATCTCATGTCCTCCCTCCTTATGTTCGACCACTCAGGTGAACAAGAACAAGAAATGGCGTGAACTCTCCACCACTCTGAACGTCGGCACTTCCAGCAGCTCCGCCAGCTCCCTGAAGAAGCAGTACATCCAGTTTCTGTTTGCCTACGAGTGTAAGATGGAGCGGGGAGAGGAGCCCCCGGCCGACAGCAGCGGCAGGCGGACGCGGCAGCATCAGCATGGCTGGGGGGGAAAACAGAAAGCAGGTCAAGATCCAGCCGCCGTCACCTGGTAAGGCCTGATAACACACACCGCTCTGTGTGTGTGTGTGTGTGTGTGTGTGTTTGATTAATCCTCTGGTTTCCCCATCTGTCAGCAGCCAAACAACAGGTGCTGATGATCAAACTACAGGTGTCAGGAAGCATCAGGGAAACAACAGTCGGCATTCATGGCAACGTTGGCACACAACGTCGGCAGCACAATAACAGCTCTGCAGCTTCCTGACTGTGGTGCAGTGGAGTGCAGTGGAGTGGTTTTGGCAAATGGTCTCAAAACATTTAACACTGTTTCCAAATATGAAGCAACAGCGACAACATAGTCATTAGCCCGCGAGACGAGACTGTTCCCCGGTGTAGCTCTCCGGTGATGTCGGCCAAAGTTGCAGTTGATTGCGATTCTGATGAGCTTTCGGAATAATTCACTGTGTTGGTCTGTTAACTGTCATGTTCACTGACAACAGGAACTTAACGCAGTCACAAATATAAAAAAAAAACGATTGAATCACATATATTGAACCTGTTTAAATTAAAGGAGTTTCTAACCTATCACTAATCACTATCACTAATGGTGATTAATCGTGATTAATCATGATTAATCATAAGTAATCGAGACATATCAGCGTTTCTAAATATTTCTCTAACTTGAACAGAAAGACAGTCGGTGGATGTATTATTAATGAATAGTCACGATTAATCGTTTATATCGTGATCATAATAAAGCGTATTAATCCTTATTCTAACGCTAACTTTTTGTCTTTCTGTATATTTCTGAAACAGAAAATCCAAAATCACAGGTAGAGGTCAGTGTTTCAAACATGTTTTTATTTGTGACTAATCCAAACGGTCCTCACGGTCCTCAGCCTACGGCGTTTCGTGTTAACGTCGCCATCTCCCGTACATCAATTATGTCGGGTTTCACCATTTTCGCATGGTTACTAGTTGTCGAGCTGACAATTACGACATAACGTGGCACTATATGTGGATGATGGCTTTTTTTTTTTACATTGAGTTGTGCTACATTTTTGGTTTGTGTTGGGGTTTTTTTTGGGAACTTTCTGCCCTGCATCAAGACTCCCAGGCATACGTCAAAATCTTCTGATGTTTTTTTTACATCCATTTGACGATCTCACTACTATGTTAGCGTAGGTGAGTGACATGGGTACTAATGTACAGTGGGTGAATCCTGACTTTGACATCCCAGTTAGGTCTCGCCGTGGACCAGCTGTAATTAAAATGGTAATTTAAGCTTGAACTTCTCTGTGAAACTAAAACGCTTTCCCACAGCGTGTGCAAATACCATAATAACGAGAAGTGGACGGACGCCAAATAACCATAATAACGAGAAGTGGACGGACGCTGGGAATAAACAGTAGTTTTTGATACATTTTCAAATAACTCCTCGGTCAAAGAAGGGTCCAAAGTTTTTATACTATCACTGGTAACTAAAAGTACTCTAGTACTACTCTTGAAAGTGACTTTATGAAAGGCCTGTTCCTCCCAACCACAGGCTACGCAGCGTCAGCCGTTGACATTTTATAGAACAATTTTATATGAAATCCTTTTTTATTTTTTTCTTACACCTTAACTTCACGCCGACGCTGAGACAATGAAACATTCAGGAAATGTCAGCCCTCTGGAGAACGTCAGGAGCTCGTTAACCTGCTAATTATTACAAACATGTCAGACGTGTAGACGGGTATACGGCCAGATGGTCTGAATCAAAATGTGTCATAAAACCGCTTCCTGTAACGTCAGCTGGTGTCGATGATGTCAGGAAGTTCAACAGAACCAGTCGTTTTAACTCCATTTCGTTTGACTTTTCCCTCTTCTTTTTTTTACACCTCTTCCTGTGGAGGTGAACGCTGCTTTGACGACACCATTCTTTAGCTTAATGAAGGTCAAACGCAATACAATCACCACTTGTGCCTCAAACCCAGGACTGGCCTTTATTTGATTCCACCGTCTGAGAGGTGAGGTAATATTGTTTTGGCACGTCTCCATTTTTCCAGTTTGTGTGTGTCTCTCTGCGCACAATTACGGCGGGCGGCGGAGCGCCGAGGTCACGTCTGTAATTTGCAGCAGAGATGAGAAAAGTGACCCTGACTTTTAAATAGAACAGTAGAGCTCTTCACCTGCCGCAGACGCTGAGCATCGCTCTTCCTGCTGGCTGGAAAAGAGCATGTGCCGTCATCTGAATACACACACACACATATACATATAAAGTATATGCATACATGCAGTACCAGTACACGTCAGCACAGGCGGTGTTTTATTCATGTACCTATGGTGTAGTAAATCAGTGGTTCTGTTAACACTTTATAATTCATCATTCTTCTTCTTCCTCTTGTCTTTTCACACAAATCCCGACCGTTCTGTTTGACAAAAAAAACTCTCAGTTTCTCCCACATCAGCTGTTTGTCGAGGTTCACGGCTGCAGCTCCTGACGGTGCCGTGAAAAATGAAGAGGTTCAAACACAGCACGTCTTCACATGTGCAGCATAGAAAACTGGTTTTACTGTTTGTTTACTCTACGTAACTGTTCTGTGGTTGTAGTATAGTATAGTATAGTATAGTATAGTATAGTATAGTATAGTATAGTATAGTATAGTATAGTATAGTATAGTATAGTATAGTATAGTATAGTATAGTATAGTATAGTATAGTATAGTATAGTATAGTATAGTATAGTATAGTATAGTATAGTATAGTATAGTATAGTATAGTATAGTATAGTATAGTATAGTATAGTATAGTATATTGAACTATAGTATAGTATAGTATAGTATATTGAACTATAGTATACTGAACTATAGTATAGTATAGTTTAGTATAGTATAGTATATTGAACTATAGTATAGTATATTATATTGAATATAGTATAGTATAGTATAGTATATTGAACTATAGTATAGTATAGTATAGTATATTGAAGTATAGTATGATATATTGAACCCAGGACTCTGCTTTATGCTTGCGTGCTAACCGCTATACCGTACGTGTCAAACCCGAGGCCCGGGGTCCAAATGTAGCCCGCCAAGCCGTTTCGTGTGGCCCGGCGACGGGAGCTAAAAACCAAGTGATTATGGCTGTTTCTATGTTCTACAACGTAGTGGTGGTTTCAAAGTACTTTGTTTATTTTCTCTGTTATTAAATTTCACTTTATCGTGTTAATACTTTCAGTGCTGGTATTACAGTATTAGCAGTACTTTTGTTTTTACTTTCTCACATATCAATCTCCTTCACTCTGTTGAGACGTCATTATTTCATGGTTAAAACGTCAAAAGTCTCAGTTGTGGAAGTAGAACCGACAACCCTGATCTGCTCTGGCAGACAGACTAAATATAGACTGATGATGTCACTGAGGGAGTTTGTCCAGCAGGC